TGCGAGATGCATCTGATTGAGCAACGACGTAGTCCACTTTGCCGCGCGCTTACACAATCGAGAAACGGGTCGTTTGTTTCAGTTATAGATTTTCGATTTATCAGTTATTTATATTAAATTATTACACATTTTATAACGTAGATTCATTTTGGAATACGGATAGTGGAAACCAAAACTGTGCTGTCTCTGTTCGTTTTAGAGATTAAGAGGAACTAACAGTTATACTCACACTTTTATGGCGCGACGTGCGCGAAATACCTGTAACAGGAATCAATACATGTATTAATAAGCGAAAACTTTGTAAGTACCCAATTTTTAAGGAAACTCCGAGAAAGGATGAACGTTTTATTTGACACAGTAAAAGTTAATGTGGACAAGAAATTAATAAAACTATTTTCGAAAGAAACTTATTCAAATATCACAGGTTTGTGTTAACTTCGAATATTTATGATCATTTTCGTAAGTCGTGGGATTTATTGTAATAACCGCCTTATAACAATGGTATTACTGTACAAATGTCACGCTGATTGACCAATAAGTAAGAGTTTAAAAAATTGAGGTCTCCACTATGCGGGACGCTCCTCGAAGGAGTTCATGGTTGAATGGAACATGTACAGTATTAAACTCTTACTAAACATCATAATATATATCTTTGCACGCGACAATAAGGTTTATTATCCAATGTCGAGTTAAAGTAGTTCCTAATTGTCAGATTGAGAACGACCGACGGCCGTTTAATCAATTTCATCTCTAACTTGATGGAAATAAGGTCGCTTATAGTTTGCAACATGTCGACATTCAAGAAGTAGGTTGACATAACTCACACCTAGATACACTTGTATATTACGAAGATTCATTAACTATTCGGCTCGAGATTTTGTGCAATCAATAATTAACCTTATAAAATGTAATAAGAAACTGCGGTATTAATAAACAGTAAATTGCTCGCTCTTTATACCCTTAAAACAAAGGATTAAACCAATAATTTTTAATTCTAATTAACTATTTTTAAAAGGGAAATGTAGAATTAAGGAATGTCTATCTTGATCTTCTTCGTCAACTCCAAGGCCATATCTCAGTATCTAACCTAACGTATAAATTTCGTCAGGAGACAGGGGAAAATCGTGCGTGCTAGAAATCTCAAAAATAAAAGTTAAACGCCTTTCATTGCTAATGAGACTGACAATAAAAGGTTCACTACTCAAACTCTGGTTAATAATAGACCTTGAGTAGGAACTCTGTTTAATTTTTTTTAATGTGCAAATAGTGTCATATTGGAACCTTCACTTAAGAATCCAATATCTACGGGTTGCAGTGGTTCCGTGAAAGTTGCAAAGTAAATTAAAACGAGGTTTAAAACCAACGTTCGAATGCTAGTTTCCTAGGTAATAAATAGAGTCAGAAAAGCGAGTGGTTCGTGCACTTTCTAGTGGAGCGGTGGGCACAAGTTACGATATCTCGGGTGATATAATAACAGTTAGCGCGGCGCCAGAGTCAGCGCCTACGCAGAAACTGCTGATCCGCCCAACCGCTACACTGAAACTACGCACGATATTTAAATTCATTAAAACGTATAACAATTGTCTATATAGTGTTATGAATACAGAGTACATGCAATAAATCAGTACATTTTATTTAGAAGACGTCAAATGGAAATTAAATTTTCCAGATGCGACGTTAGGTTCCATGCATGCGCAGTTTTTCTTTCATAGCTGCAAAAGGCAAAAGTTATCTAAACATACTGCTACATTCTTGCTTTTACTGTTTACATATTTAATTATAAGAAAACCGGACGATGCCAATAGGTAAAATAAAGGTTATTGGCAATGGATGTAAATAGCTTGTTTGTGTTCAGCAGTAATTTTTTTATCACTGTAATAACAGCTGTCTGCTTTATCTAAAATCATATTGTAAAAATATTTACGATTACATTGCAAAAATTAGTTTAGATTAACCATAAGAAATCTTATTAAATAAATAAAAATTTTATATGACTTTCTAATGCTAATATGGTAATGAAATTAATATAATGTAATATTTATTAAAGAATATGATACTGATATAAAATAGTTTCTTCACAAATGCATCGTCGATTGGCAATTAGGTTGCAAAAGAAATTAGGTAGTCGGTGATTATGAAGATAGAGATTGGTGATTGCTGTTGGATATCTAATAAAGTACCCGATGTTAAAGAGATCTCGCCGAGAAATACGTTCACCGTCCTAGATGCGCGGTACTTTCGTTTTGAAATCGGCTCGCACAATTGGCCGTATCGAGACAGAGGCGGCGAGCGGCCGAATGGTGGCGGAACGCATTCCAGCGTTTCTAATGTAACCATTTTTTAAACGATAATGTGAAATTGAACGTTCTAAAATGAAAAATTTGCATAAATCTGTAATTAATCAATATGAAAATAATTTAGGGTCTTTCCTCATAAGATTAACGTTATAGTTTAAATCCCCAGCAAGACGTTTGGTTTTTAACATAGATTTTGTGTATTTTTACCAAATGTTAAAATGTTGTTGTCACTAAGTAGTTGTTACAAGTAATAAGTAAGAAACAAAAGTTTTTATTTCTATTTAATTCCATTTTGAAATACATTTAACTTAGCAGAGAAACGTAATCGTTGAAAATATCAGTTTTAGTCGCAGTTACTTTCCTTTACGTAATAACTTTCAATGTGATTATCTAATCTAGACTAGGCTATTCATAAAGCCTGCTATTCAATGTCTTAACAATATCGATGAAACTGACTGGCATTG